ATGTTTGTATTCATATATATAGATTATTGTATATATATATATATGTGTATGTATGTGTGTGAGTATGTATGTATATGTACACAATACATTGTTATACACGTCTCTTCGAACCATTCTCCGCTTCGTGGGCATAAGTCGCCCGCAATCCGCTCTAATGCGTTTACGCTCTCTGAAACTCACGAAACGTCTATTTGCTATTAAACCTCAGGAGAAAACCTCATGCAATGAGACCATCTATCACAAGAAGTGTCTGCGATGTAACCACTGCGACAAGATCTTGACTCTGGGTGAATACGCTGGCCTAGAAGGAGTCATGTAAGTGTATATAACCGGATCCCACAACCTCTGTAGTTGTTTTATGAGTGGAATATATATTATACACTGTTAATGTGAGAGCAAGTAGTAGCTTTTGCATTGTATGGAACATCTCACAAGAACCAACATGTGCTGTAATCGCTTGTAAACCACAACGTGGGCAGCAAAGACATTTGCCACAGTATCGCAGCACCGCCTGAGATCAAAGATTGCATTGGCATATGATTGTTCAGCGAACAATAAACCGAAACAACAAGCATACATCAACATAGTGTGGTGTATAGCCCATAGTCATCGAAGCAACTATTGGTAACTGCATGGCCTTACTCGCACTATCAAGCACCCCACTCCCCTGGCTCTCTACCGTAAATCCCTGACCTCTAAACCCTAAAATTCATTCATTCCTAAAATCTAAAACCCTAAACTCCGCACAGGTATTGCAAGCCCCACTTCAAGTCTCTCTTCGCACTGAAGGGCAACTACGACGAGAGCTTCGGAAAGGAGGCTCATACCAAAAAGTGGGCCAAGTAAATGGGCAGTACTGCCAAGACTGAGGAGAGTGTCACTCCCAGTTGGAAAATTGGCTATTTTGTAGTACATGTAGTCAAATACCCCATCTTCTAATGGAATAAACCATCAGTCGATGCAATAAACCATCCATTCAAGGAATAAACTTATCAGTCGATGAAATAAACCATCCATTCATGAAATGAACTTATCAGTCGATGAAATTATCAAGAACAAAAACATCGCTTAATGAAATGACCAAAAAAGAATCGTACGACAGGTTCTTGTGTCGACCTTATGAAAAAATGCAGACTAATCTCTACTAGTGTGTGTACCATACCATTGAAAAGTCGTATATAACCTATGCAGGCTACTCTCTAGTGGCATGTGTACCATGCCGTTGAAAAGTAAGCCCTATGCAAAAGGAATAATATCACGTCACAATGTACTGTACGAAGCACATATATGCGACCATCGTATGGTGGTGGTTTTGTAGTGTTGTATCGACCAGTATGGGTTTAGAGTTTTCTTATATCGACCAGTTTAGGTTTAGGGTTTTTGTATATCGACCAGTTTGGGTTTAAGGTTTCTTGTATTAACTAGCATGTGGCTTGATCCTTCGAACTTAACACGCTGCAGACTGTTTATGTAAACAAAGTACATACGAGTCTCTCATATACCCGTGGCGCCTGCCTAAAAAGGAAATCTTGGACCAGATACCTACCAACTCCCATTGTACACCATGGACATAATGCAGTCAAGACGAACTCGGTCTTCTATGGACTTGAGATATATACATATACTATTAAACGCCCCCCACGGCCAGCCTCAGCGCATATTCCTCGCCCTTATGGTGAGTCGTAGAATCGTGTATCTTGGCAGCAAGTCATATTGCTAATGTCCTATCCTGCAGTTACTTTATTAGCAGTATCCCCGAGGATGTGCTGCGACGAAGCCGTTGCAAGCCTTGTGTCTTCTTCGTGTGATTGTTAGATCCATCTCAAAGCGTACACGCATAACACACCATACAGCCCGTACAGGGCCATATACCCAACCGACACCTCTCGCATGAGAGCTACCCTCTTCTGTTCACTGAGCATCCAAACCCCTATGATACCCTCCGTTTTCTCACTATAAACACTTCAGTGCTTCTTTGATTCCCAACGCTTCGGGCTTTCTCTCTACCGGAAAGACCGGACCATCACATCCCCATCCGGTAGATACACGCATCTCTCCTCGGCATACAATCCTATCACCCCGGCCCATCTCACCGACTCGCTAAGCTCCACATATTCATATTCACATATAACACTCTTAGCTCAACGGACGACTACTCCTATCTCAACAGACGCAATAGACGCACCCTTGTTACCGCTTGCAAGGGGTGTACTTTGACCGCCGGCCTAGGCCCAGGGTCTGTCAGCAGCGACTGTACTGAATGCGATCATCCGCCCATATCATATGGTGTTTTAGGGTTTTGTTCATCCGCCTATTCCATATGATGTTTTAGGGTTTTCAACCCCCGAAACCCCTGAAACTCTTTCATGTGGTGAGAAGACGACGTCGCAGAGAACACGGGCACTCCCATCGACCGTTACCTAACGGTTCGACCCAAATATAGGCTTAACCACGTGCTTGCACTCGGCAGACCTACTAGGCATTCAGTATACCTACACCATACCATCCGTAGCACCCCACACAATGGTACTCATGAAGCAGGCGATACTCAGTCCCGCACCTGGGGCCTCGCCAAGACATACATACATTACAGATACATCAGGCCCACTTCACTCCGTTGGCACCTACAGCACACTTATGTTCCGTGGCTATGCAGTCCCAGAAACCCATATGGCGTTATCACGCATAGCCCTCGCACGGCCAACGAATGTGTTCTCCGCACTCCGAATGACAAATACTTTAACTAACAGATCTCAGCCACTCAAGCAAAGGCCCGGAAGCCCCTCCCCACCCAACACCACAGGCACAGGCCATGCGGCAGAGTGAAACCACCGTCCACCACTCTACCATGACTCGAATTAAAGTCATTCCATGCAGACGTATATAGAACACCCAGGCCCTATCAAAGGCGGCTGTCTGGTGCTCTAGAGCCTCGCGTGAGTCTTTATTCAAGCACTGTCAGATCTACCGCAGACATTTCCTGTACTCTGACCGTCTTACCGTCCCACTCGATACACAGCGGCGTTGTCGTATTGTCGGATTCTGTCGTATTTTCATATTCTGTCGTATTTTCATATTCTGTCGTATTTTCAAATTCTGTCGTATTGTCGGATTCTGTCTGATTGTCGGATTCCGCCAACCCGTACACATCCTCGACACAATGATCCAACACCATTTGCGCGGTCTCAGTGCTGAGCAAGCCCCACAACGGCACTTGGGCCTCTACCGTCTCTCGGTCGAGAGAACGCTGTATGGTCCTGAGGGGATATTAGGTGGGCCTTAGTACTTGTACACAATATACTATATGGTACATGCACACTAGTAAAACGTAAACCCTAAACCCTAAAACCCTACAACCTTAAAGTCCTAGACCTTAATAAGTTATGGGTAGTGCAGCCGAGGTGATTCGCGAAGTAAAGAATACTGTACAACATAACACATACACCGATGAGGATATCGTTAGTACACCCACTGCACTGCAGAGGTTGATGAAGATATCGATAGTACACCCACTGCACTGCAGAGGTTGTAATGCCTTACCCTGACAGACAGGACTACAGTACGTTATATACACACACACACGAAACGAAGACTAAATATATCGAACAAACAATAAAGAAATCCAGATCGAAGGATCCCTGTATAGTCCAGAATCAGTATCACACAGACATCGGTACACCCGGCCTATTACCATGCAGGTACTACCACTGTGCTACAAACTGGCACATGACAGCTTCATTAAAACCGGCTAATATGCACACAAGCGCTGGTATAAGAACCCTACATCGTTGTAATACAACCGGCGACAAAGCCTGCGACAATGGCTGCATCTAAAACGACTGATAGATGGATTCTGTGTCTTTTAATTGGACAAAACAAGGATAATTTACTTGCCCACTCCTTGGGGGAAACATACAACACTCATATCAAAACAGCTCTGTCCTGGGCCGATCATATGATCCAAAATAAGGGCATCCTTGTTCCAATGCGAATGATATGACCCGAAATAAGAACTTACTTGACCCGAAATAAGGACTTACTTGTTCACTACCGGGTGGAATATCAGCCCTTCAGGCGACACGCGCAGATTGGCAGGGTCGAACTCTTCGGATAACGTCGAGGCGTAGGTGAGTCGCCACGGCATGTCCTGTGCAATGGAGCGCAAGGGAACACATGAAGCAAAAGCCATTGAACGGTAGCACCCAACGTAGTAGCACACAACGTAGTAGCACACAACGTAGTAGCACGCAACGCAGTAGCACACAACGTAGTAGCACACAATGTAGTAGCACACAACGTAGTAGCACACAACGTAATAGCACCCAACGTAGTAGCACTCAACGTAGTAGCACACAACGTAGTAGCGCACCCAACGTAGTAGCACACAACGTAGTAGCACCCAACGTAGTAGCACACAA